AAAGTTCGTTTGGTTTCTTATTTTTCAGGTAATGTTTGGAAATTTGTAATTGACATAACAAATTGAATATGTAGCGTTCTTGTTTTTATTAAAATAATAGGTTTCTTATTGTTGAAAATCATTGAAAATATAGATTAAATCTAGCGCATTACAAACAATATGTTTTTTCTGTGACGGGAAAAAAGTTTGAAATTTCATCGCTGTTGACAGATTATAAAATGTCACTTTTCATAAATTACTTTTTTCCGACGGGAAAAAAGCGAGTACTTCTTTCCCGGATATACAGGGTGTCCCTAGACCAGTGGGACAGTTGAATATCTCCTGAACCAATAGGAATTTTCAGAATATTATAATTTCACATCATATCGCATTAGGAGTGCTAACTTCAGGAATGACTATATTCTCTACGAGGGGCGCAAGAAAGGCTCACAAAATCGAACATCAATTTTTCCAAATGGAACACCCTGTATTTCATTGCATTTTCATATTTTCCTTGAAGAACTGAATTCAACGACCTAGCACATTTGGGGTCTAGCGGGAAAGATTTTCGAGATATAGGGTGTGGAAAATCGAGATATTTCATTTTTGGGAAATTTTTGTGTCAGTTTCAGTCAGAATTCTACACCACCCTGTATTTGTTTCAATTAAATACGAGTAAATAGTAAATAGAAAGTTGAGATATGGACATGTGAGCCGTTTTGGCCAATAATGAATAGTTTTGACACAAAAAATTCCCAAAAATGAAAAATATCGATTTTCCACACCCTATATCTCGGAAATCATTCTCGCTAGACCCCAAGTGTGCTAGGTCGCTGAATTCAGCTCATCAAGGAGAATATGAAAATGCAATGAAATACAGGGTGTTCCATTTGAAGAAATTGATGTTCGATTTTGTGAGCCTTTCTTGCGCCCCTCGTATAAAATATAGTCATTCCTGAAGTTAGCACTCATAATGCGATATGATGTGAGATTATAATATTTCGAAAATCCCTATTGGTTCAGGAGATATTCAACTGTCCCACTGGTCTAGGGACACCCTGTATATCACATACCCAGATAGCACAGGATATGAATATTATGACAAATTTCAAATATACTTATATTATAATATTCTAATAGAATGTTCTCAGAATGATCATAGAAAATTCTCATTCTGCAACGAATATTCTTTGAACATTCAATTCGACATATTCTTAGAATATTCTGAAAATAGTCTTATCGAATTTTCTGAGAATATTTAGAATCGTATCGAAATATATGATATTGATGTTCCTATTCTTGTATCAATATTCATAATGTTCACCCTGACACAACCTATTATCATCTATCCCACTAATTCATCGATGTTATCTTGATATTCATTTTATCCATCAAAAAAGTCCGTGGCGAAGTGGTAAGGTTTCTAGGAATATTCTCAGAATATTTGGAACAATCCATTCCGAATGTTCATAGAACGTTCCTAGAACATTTTTATCATATTGTGAGAATATTCTGAAAATATTCAAATATTCTCGAAGAATATTCTATGAACGTTCTACGAATGACATTGTGCTATCTGGGTATAGATACACTATTGATGGCTTTTGTTGTGCTATAGTTCCGAAAAATAAACGATCAACACCGTATCCGAGAGTCTTTTTCAAAGCTTTTATTCAACTTGCAATGAATGTATGGATGTATGTTAGTTCTGGTGGAATCTTTGAACTCAATTTTGAAGTGGATATCTTCAACCGATTGAGCTGAAATTTTGTATACACGTTAAGTTTGGATGACAATGCACGATAAAGTGTGTGAAGTTATTCTAAATCCAATATGGCGGACCATCCAAGATGGCGGAATAGTTATTTTTAATGCACTTCTACAATATGGGTATCAAATGAAAAGGCTCGTCGGGAGTTACTCGAAAAATAATGTGACGTCATTTTGAATCCAATATATGGGACCATCCACGATGGCAAAATAGTTATATTTTCTAATGCACTTCCACAATATGGGTATCAAATGAAAAGACTTGTTGGGAGTAACTTGAAAAATAATGTGTCGTCATTCTAAATCCAATATGGCGGATTATCCAGGATGGTGGAATAGTTATTTTTGATTCACTTCTACAATATGGGTATCAAATGACAGAGCTCGTTGAGAGCAACTCGGAAAATGATGTGACGTCATTCTAAATCATACTAAGTCTGTGCAATTTCCAGCAAAATATAGTCACGGAACCGCGGAACGAAGAATGCTGCCAATTGTAGTATGTTGGGCTTGTCCTTGTACAGTACACAAAATGCAAGGTAGTATACTGTCGACTACGCCGTTATTTACTCAGGCTCGAAGCTCTTCGCTGCTGGTCAAGCATACGTGGCTTTAAGTGGGGTAAAATCATTAGAAGGTCTCCTTATTGAAGAGCTGGAATGTTCGAAATTAACCGGCAAACGACCTTGCAACAATGATGCGTTCAATGAAATGAACAGACTGAGAAACCTAGCCAGCGATAACTAAAAATTGAAAAATAAATTAAAAGTAAAAAAGTATTTGATGAAGAGCTTTTTTTCTGTGACGGGAAAAAAGTTTGGCATTTCATCTCTGTTGGCAGGTTATATAATGTCACTTTTCATAAATTACTTTTTTCCGAGAACTGCAAGTCCATTTATCTTCCATTCGACTTCGCGGGTACGTAAATTACTAAACAACCACTAAATTCGCAATTTTTTGAAATCAAATCACAGAATTAGACTGACAGAAGTGAATCAGATATTTGATCACTTGAAAAAAATGATAAAGATGCCTACAACGCAGGTGTCCCTACTGTAAAAAACTTAAAATTTCACGTCGATAATTTTCAGATTTCAAAATAATGTAATATCTTCTCAATATTGATTCGTCCTTTCATCTGTCACAGAAAAATATTAGATTTTAGCTCATTGTTTTTTGTCTCCCTCCGCTACGCGTCGGGAGACAACACAACCTGGAGCTGAAATCTACTACTTTTTTCCCTTGTATAATAAATAACTATAATACGAACTATACAGGGTAATGCAAATTTCATGGTACACTATTGTTAACTCGGAAACGGAGAGAGATGCGAACTACGTTAAATTACGAAAAAAATGCACAATTTCATGACCATTTCAAATATCAAAAGAAATCGAGGACATCCCTCTTATTTCCTGAAATATCCTGAAAAAACTGAAAATAGTCGATTTTTATTATAATCAATAACTTTTGAACTGTTTTTACTAGAGTTTTGAAATTTGGTACACTTACTGAAGGTCGCATGGCGAATTCAACGGTGATATGAAAAAAAATCTAGGCACACTAGATTCGAAGATATTGAAGCAAATTTTGATTTTTCTAATGGTCGCCATATTGGATTTTTGCACCATCCGATAGATCAAAAAATTACCAATTCATCGATGTATCACACTTCCATGTTTGATGATGGAATGACGAAAATACAGGAAAAATAGAAAATTAATAATTAAGTTAACGTATAAGATCTGCTATCAAGCTTACAATTTCAGAAATTTTCATTAAACGTAAAAATAATAATATTGAACTCAATTTCTGAGGTGCTCGAAGTGACCCCCTCCATTTTCAAGACAAAGTGCAGCTCGACTGCAAATGTCATTTGCTGCTCTCCGTATGGTTGCTTCCGGTATTGAATTAATTGTTTGTACAATTTGTTCTCGCAAATCTGCAGCGTCTCCTATTGTTCTGGCATAAACTGTATTTTTCAAATATCCCCATAGGTAATAGTCTAACGGATTTAGATCCGGAGATCTAGCGGGCCAGCGTACTGGACCGTTAGTGCCAATCCACTTCCGTGGAAACATTTGATGCAATGTCTGGGTAACCAATGCTGCATTGTGAGCAGGAGCACCGTCTTGCTGAAACCACATTTGGTGGATCTGATTAATGGGAAATCCATCCAATGAGGGTTCAACACTATCTCTCAACAGGTTCCTATAGTTTTCTCCGTTCAGGCGATCTTCAAGAAAAAATGGACCCAGAATTCGACCATTGAAGATGCCACACCAGACATTAACCGAGAATCTTATTTGATGACGTGATTCTTTCTTGAGCTTTAGATTCTCTGTGGACCAATAATGCTCATTGTGACGATTGAAAAGGCCATTATTTGTAAAAAGGCACTCATCTGACCACAGCACTTTCAATGGAAAATTTACATCATTGTTCACCCTATTCTGTAACCATTCACAAAAAAAGGATCGCCTGGCAAAATCTTCTCGACTGATTCCTTGTACTACATGATAATGATAAGAGTGGAATTTTTGCTTTTTGAGTATTCTACTAGCTGTAGATTGATGGACATTACACTGCCTTGCAATAGCATAAGTTGATATGTTTGGATTAATGTGCACTTGTGCTAGGATATTTATAACGTTAAGATTCAACCCTCTTCTCATTCCATACCTAGGTGAATCAGAAATTCATTTATGGAAGAATACAAAAATGTTAATACATATCTCACCTTGAACGCCTTGTTGCCTAAGTTCCATCTAGTCTGATCTTCTGTGCAATCCTTTGGAAATAATGTCGCGAAGGCTGAATCCGTTCAGGGTATAAATTTTCATACATTTCACTAGCTCGCGTCGAATTTCGAAAGCAGCGAATGTAAACATCATACATATCACTCCTTTCTCAATGCTGTAAACATTCACCATCTCAATTTGGTTTCAGTAGAGATGTGAACAATTATAATTTTCAAATTCTCAGAATGACAGATGAATTTTTAATGTTCTAATATCCAGAACTGAAAACTGGACATTGTGACAGCCGCCTCCTTGACATTGATGAACTGGCTGGCACGTGTCGAATCCCGTAAACAGCGATGTACAGGATGTTTCTTAAGTATGTGTAGAAAATTCAGGAGCAGATTGTGATACGAAGCTCAAGAAAGAATCATGCCATCAAAATATTATCGGTTAATAGGTGATACGGCATCTCCAATAAACGAATTATGGGTCCATTTTTTCTTAAAGATTGCCTGGACAGAGAAAACTATGAGTTTCTTTTCAACCGAAATCACCAAATGTGGTTTTAACAAGATGGCGCTCCTGCCCACAATGCTGCATTTGGTTTCACAGATGTTGCGTCAAATGTTGAACAAAGATGGATTGGTCCAGACGGTCCTGAGCGCTGGCTTGGCCTGCTAGATCTCCGGACCTGAATCCATTGAACTAGATCCTATGAAGATATTTGAAAAATACAGCTTATTGCAGAACAATCAGAGACGCTGCAGATTTACGAGAACAAATCGTATAAACAATCGATTCAGTACAAGAGGCAACCATACGGAGAGCAACAAATTACATTATTTGCAGTCGAGTATCACGTCGAGCACCTCAGATATTGAGTTTCATATTATTTTCTTGACTTTCAGTGAAAATATCTGGAATAGTAAGCCTAATAGCAGATCTTATACGTTAACTTAATTATTAATTTTCTATTTTTCCTGTATTTTCGTCATTCCATCATCACACATGGAAGTGTGATACATCGATGAATTGGTAATTTTTTGATCTATCGGATGGTGCAAAAATCCAATATGGCGACCATTAGAAAAATCAAAATTTGCTTCAATATCTTCGAATCTAGTGTGCCTAGAATTTTTTTCATATCACCGTTGAATTCGCCATGCGACCTTCAGTAAGTGTACCAAATTTCAAAACTCTAGTAAAAACAGTTCAAAAGTTATTGATTATAATAAAAATCGACTATTTTCAGTTTTTTCAGGATATTTCAGGAAATAAGAGGGATGTCCTCGATTTCTTTTGATATTTGAAATGGTCATGAAATTGTGCATTTTTTTCGTAATTTAACGTAGTTCGCATCTCTCTCCGTTTCCGAGTTAACAATAGTGTACCATGAAATTTGCATTACCCTGTATAACGCTCTTAAAAGAATAAAATGAAATGTTCCTTTATAATTTTAACTATCAACGTATAACCTCATTATACACAATTTATACGATCATAAAAGCTTGTCGCAATGATCAATATTCGATTAAATTGAAATTTCAAAAATTTCAGCAGATTTTACAAAATTAAATTAGTAAGTACTAGTTTAGTCACACAAGTAAATCGCGTGGCAAGCTTTTATGAAAATATAAATTGTGTATAATGAGGTCATAAGTTGATGGTTAACATTATGAAGGAACATTTTATTTCATTATTTTTAGAGTTTTTAAATAAAAGCTTTTTATTACAATTTTTTTCTCACTTTTAATTTATTATCGTATCGTATCGTTAATTACTAAACAACCACTAAATTCGCTATTTTCCAAAATCGAATCAAATGATTAGACTGGCAAATATTTGATTACTTCAAAAGAATGGTAAAGATACCTGCAACCATTCTGGTATAGAAAATTTGATACATGGTACGCTCTCCCAGGACATGCAGGGGGCAGAAACCGTTTGCAATATTTATTTATTTGAACTTGAATTTTCTGACTATGGGCATCGGCAGGCAGACCTCCAGAACTTCTATTAGGCTGAAGATGGTATTTTCTAAGATCGAAACTGTTCCTGAGTTTATAACAACATTGTTGAATATTTGTGGAGATGACTTTGAGCATTCTTTCATTCTTTTGAAACGTTTCCACTCCACTTTGAGTAATATGGACTTCTACCCAAGACTAACACCTGTATATCTTATCGTCATTATCACGATGCGATTAACGCCTATATAAGTGTTTACACATCGATTGTGAAAGGGAGTGCTCAAGTTTCAATTACTGCCTACGTGACTGAGTTTGTTCGCAGAAAGGTCAGATTTTTCTGTAATCATTTTGATACCAATATTTTATGAACTGAGAGTTTATAATATCCCTTGTGGAAAGTTCGACAACTGAAAAAATCTCCCAGCAAACACTGGTTACCTGGAGATTCGACAGCCCATCAGTTTCATAGATAGCATACTGCTAACACTATTTTTCGGTAAGGAAAATGTACATAATATTCATTACTATTTCTATACAGGGTCCGGACGATTTAATAGGGACAGTATTGCTATCTCCTAAACGGTAAGAGATAGAAAGTTGCGTAATTTGAACCTCATCAATATGACGTTTTGCAATCTGGACAAATGTCAGCCGTTCCTGGAATATTCTGAGGAAACTGAAAATCACTGATATCGTTTTTATTTATTTTCTGCCTTAATATTAGAGGTAGAAATTTGAAATTTTTTTCGCTAATAGGTAAGTAATCATGACTAAGACGTTGGAATTGTCAGAAATATTCTATCATCAATATTTTTGAAGATTAACCATGCAACTTTCGTTTTTTTTATGGGCGCCATATTTGATTTTTATACCATTGAATAGAGCAAAAGATTTCCTTCACAGCCATGTGAAAACATATTGACATTATTGCATGAAACAGCACCAAGAACAGTAAAAACCATTTTTTGCTGGTTATCAGTGCCTAAAATTGAACTGCTCTACATTTTCTAATACGGTGGGGGCTCATGATAATGAAAGAACGAAATATCAGTCGTCATGACTACAGCATTTATACTTCTCAAGTCATCTATGACACGCTTCATCAATATGCAAAAAGGAGAAAAGGGCAAAGAAAAACCAAGATATCAATTTTTTGGTTGAATAAACAACATACAATTACCTCAACTTCATTTGCTCTGGAATAAAATCTGAAATCAGATTCAGTGTGTGAGAAAAAATTGGAAAGGAACATTCTCAGATATATTTATGAAACACAAAAATGGATATATATATAAATATACCGGGTGTCCCATTTTAATCTTTATTGGAAATTTCTCGAAATGTATACATCTGACAAAAAAAATTGCCGAATAAAAGTTGTATGGTTTGGAGGGGGACGTCTGGTTATAAAACAAGTTTCACCCCCTGACCCCCAGGGGAGTAAGAAATGGAGGTAACATTGAAATCTTCAATGGAAACCCCTATTTTTTATTGCAGATTCTGGAAGAGCATTAAAAACTATGAAGCTTTTATTCGGGAACTTCTTTTTTATTTTCACAAGATGGCGCTACGATAGTAAAAAACTATATTTCACTATTTACACATTTCAACCCCCTGAAGACGAGGAAGAGTGTAGGGTGTGATATTTTCCCAGACAAACGCCATTGGGGTGATATTCACCCGACAAATTAACGCTAAACGAACTTACTCACCTTGACACCTCTACATAGAAAAGAGAAAAATAAGCATGGTTCAGCAATTAAGGTATCATTTAGGTCAGACTAAAGCTGGTTTTAAGTGAGATTGACTACTTTATCAAGTGTTCGGAATGACCTCCATTTTCTTGAATACACAAGTTCACTCGTTTTTCAAAATTCCGCACTGTCGCTTCCAACATAGCAGGATTAGCAGGCGTTAAAGCCATGCACGCTCCTCTAATTCTATCTTTCATATTCTCGCGTGTGGTTGGGGGTTCGCGAAACACATTGTTTTTGATGTAACCTCACAGAAAGAAGTCTGGGGAAGTCAAGTCGGGTGATCTGGGTGGCCAACTACAAACTAAATAGTAAAATATTGTTTTTCAAGATCGCAGCGCCATCTTGTGAAAATAAAAAAGAAGTACCCGAATATAAGCTTCATAGTTTTTAATGCTCTTCATGCATTACAAACAATATGTTTTTTCTGTGACGGGAAAAAAGTTTGAAATTTCATCGCTGTTGACAGATTATAAAATGTCACTTTTCATAAATTACTTTTTTCCGACGGGAAAAAAGCGAGTACTTCTTTCCCGGATATACAGGGTGTCCCTAGACCAGTGGGACAGTTGAATATCTCCTGAACCAATAGGAATTTTCAGAATATTATAATTTCACATCATATCGCATTAGGAGTGCTAACTTCAGGAATGACTATATTCTCTACGAGGGGCGCAAGAAAGGCTCACAAAATCGAACATCAATTTTTCCAAATGGAACACCCTGTATTTCATTGCATTTTCATATTTTCCTTGAAGAACTGAATTCAACGACCTAGCACATTTGGGGTCTAGCGGGAAAGATTTTCGAGATATAGGGTGTGGAAAATCGAGATATTTCATTTTTGGGAAATTTTTGTGTCAGTTTCAGTCAGAATTCTACACCACCCTGTATTTGTTTCAATTAAATACGAGTAAATAGTAAATAGAAAGTTGAGATATGGACATGTGAGCCGTTTTGGCCAATAATGAATAGTTTTGACACAAAAAATTCCCAAAAATGAAAAATATCGATTTTCCACACCCTATATCTCGGAAATCATTCTCGCTAGACCCCAAGTGTGCTAGGTCGCTGAATTCAGCTCATCAAGGAGAATATGAAAATGCAATGAAATACAGGGTGTTCCATTTGAAGAAATTGATGTTCGATTTTGTGAGCCTTTCTTGCGCCCCTCGTATAAAATATAGTCATTCCTGAAGTTAGCACTCATAATGCGATATGATGTGAGATTATAATATTTCGAAAATCCCTATTGGTTCAGGAGATATTCAACTGTCCCACTGGTCTAGGGACACCCTGTATATCACATACCCAGATAGCACAGGATATGAATATTATGACAAATTTCAAATATACTTATATTATAATATTCTAATAGAATGTTCTCAGAATGATCATAGAAAATTCTCATTCTGCAACGAATATTCTTTGAACATTCAATTCGACATATTCTTAGAATATTCTGAAAATAGTCTTATCGAATTTTCTGAGAATATTTAGAATCGTATCGAAATATATGATATTGATGTTCCTATTCTTGTATCAATATTCATAATGTTCACCCTGACACAACCTATTATCATCTATCCCACTAATTCATCGATGTTATCTTGATATTCATTTTATCCATCAAAAAAGTCCGTGGCGAAGTGGTAAGGTTTCTAGGAATATTCTCAGAATATTTGGAACAATCCATTCCGAATGTTCATAGAACGTTCCTAGAACATTTTTATCATATTGTGAGAATATTCTGAAAATATTCAAATATTCTCGAAGAATATTCTATGAACGTTCTACGAATGACATTGTGCTATCTGGGTATAGATACACTATTGATGGCTTTTGTTGTGCTATAGTTCCGAAAAATAAACGATCAACACCGTATCCGAGAGTCTTTTTCAAAGCTTTTATTCAACTTGCAATGAATGTATGGATGTATGTTAGTTCTGGTGGAATC